CACCTTTCATGGACCTATTTAGTTTATTCTTGGGGTCCTACACAATGTACATTCGGCACATTTGTGAAATTTACAATAAACATCAGCTAATATAGAAGCGAAAACTCGCCAGACGGGGAACATACGACCATTTAAAAAGGGAACAAATGAGCCTGACTGCAACATGTTGCTCTTGTCAGAGTCGATAACAGACGTATGATTATGTTTTTGAGAGCGCGCTCGATGTCCGCCCTGCGCCACAAACACTATTTGTTTTCTGATTATGTTCTAAAAGTTGGCTCGGGATGGTCTGGGTGGTCGCCTGGCAAATAAACATGCGTTTTAAGATTCAAAGACTCAGAATGATATTATCAGCCTCAAACTACACTCGAGCACAGAGACGGCTGAAGCAGCTGAGAAATGAACAGCTGTGTGTCTTAATTGATGGCACAATGTCAAGCAGGCGGCCCGTTTTAAACAGCAGAGACGTGCTTGTTTTCTTAAGACGCCTGTTCTCTCGAGGACAACTTGGGAAGTATATTCTCCCCATTGGCACAACCGTCAACTTGGCATTCTTTGATTGCTTCGTGTGTCTGGTGCGGAAACCAGAAAGAGGTCCGCAGACAACAAGTGAAGATTTGTAGCATACAGTAAAAGAATAAAGGATTTAAGTAGATTAAATCAGGTCCTGTACAAGAGTAGCTTTTCATTATGAGGCTTCTGTACTTATATATTTCTGATTTATTTCTTCAGAGGCAAACTCCAGACCCACCCTTTCAATTAGACTTCTGATTGATTTGAAAGATTTCATTTAATTAGTTTTTACTCTATTTCTGTCTCTATCTCTATTTTAATGATTTAAACTTTATTTGATTTACTTTTCTATCTTATATTATTTCGCTTTATGTCATCTTGGTGTTTCCTCATTGTACATGTTTTATAGGATAACTTCATTTATAACGTGATGTTGGGGATGGAGGTTGTTTGTGTGGTTTTATTGCATTTTTATTTCTGGTATCTGTGAAGCACTTTGTGTTGCATTTTATTTGTATGAAATGTGCTGCAGAAATAGAGTCTGACCGATTGATTGATTGATTGATTGATTGATTGATTGATTGATTGATTGATTGATTGATTTCTATTGTTTGTATTTGCTGTTTAGGGCTGCAAGGTGGATCAGTGGTTAGCATCGTCGCCTCGCAGCTAGAAGGTCGCCGGTTCGCGTCCCGGTGAGGACACCCGGGATCTTCCTGCGTGGAGTCTCCATGTTCTCCCCGTGCAGCGTGGGTTCTCTCCGGGTTCTCCGGCTTCCTCCCACAGTCCAGAAACATGCTGAGGTTAATTGGTGATTGTAAATTGTCCGTGGGTGTGAATGTGAGTGTGCTTGGTTGTCTGTCTCTAAGCGTAGCCCTGTGATAGACTGGTTACCTGTCCAGGTGAACCTGCCTTCAGCCTGAGTCAGCTGGGATAGGCTCCACCCCCCATGACCCGAGTGAGCATGAAGGTGTAGAGATGATGGATGGATGGTGTTGGCTGTTTAATGCTACTCCATTCTTCTGTTACATTTATTTGAAGCTAAAGTCACTTTTACATTCAGATTTTACAGAAAAAAACATATAATAAGCTCATTAAATATGTATTGTTATTAATAAACGTTGGGGTTTAAGAGAAGGAAAAAAAAACAGAGGAAACTGTCTGGTTTGGGTCCTTTGTCACATTTCTATAGAGGTGGGTGGTTACAATACATTTTGTGTTCCTGCACAATATTTTGTGTCGCCTCGCATTCTGACCCATCGCGTACGACTGAGCTGCATTATGATACAGCGCTCTGCATTAGGCATCAGCCTGCCACCGGCCGTGGCCACAGTCTGCACCACTGCAGTTTGAAAGATAAATAGAGGAGCCGGTGCGTCCAGCTTCCTCACCAGCCCCTGCTGAGGCTGACTGGGACAGGCTGTCGCTGTGATTACGACTGCAGCCAGGGGATGACGTCGCTGTCGCTGCATTAGTGGCTGCAGCCACGTCTTTGCTTCGCTTGTTATGATTATGGCTGTGACACAGTGGCTTGTAATGGGTGTCCAACTCACTACATGCAGCAGAGAATTGACTTGTGGACTCCTGCAGAGTCCTGGTAACACATCTGTCATCTCTGATTAAAGCACCAGGGGCTCCAATAGTTACAGTAAGGACAGATAAATCTCTATCACCATAGATTAAACCACAAATACTCAACAGTTCCCTCATGAGCAAGCACTTGGCAAAAGTGTGAATTCCCTTTGAGCAGGAGAAAACTGACACAACAAAAGTCAGGGTGAGAGAAGAGAGCAGAAACTGGAAGGACAAAGAGGGCGAGGAGACCAGGAACAGCTGGGTAACTGAAATTAATTTGAGCAGCTATAGAGCATTAATGATGATTTGAATTACAATATAAAAACAGACTCAAAGCATTTCTCTAAACTGGCAGCGTGTTTTAAAATAACTGGACCAAACACATCAACTGAATCAGGGAAATATGAAAAAGAAAACAGATAAATGAAAGCAAACCAAAGCACAGAAACCAGCGACGATAAACTGGCAGCAGACAACTGGAATAAATCCCACCCTTCTCCCGTCAGGTCTCCTCCCAAAGCCACTCCTCACGCAGCGAGTACAGCAGGAGGATTAATCCATGAGAGGGAGCGTTGGCAGGGAGGAGCATGCAGCTCAGCAAAGCTACTGTAACACACAGACTGTAACAGCACATCTGCACAACATCCCATTCAAAGCCAGTAGATGCTAACATAAGATGAATGCCATGAAAGTCGAGTACATCTACAGGGATACATGCAAACACACCGTGAGCAAACTGGAAGAGGATGAGAGGCCACGAAGAGCAACGACAGATGCAGAAAACTTAGAACCACGCACTGCTTTTTTATAGAGCATGTTTAAACAACAGCTGGTGCTTTCCATGAAACAAGATTACCACTGGAATTACAAAATAACCTGAAAAAAAAATCATATAGTGTTATTTATGGCGTGAGTCTACCTGAGTAATTGACATATTAGAGACTGAAACCCTACAAAAAATGTAGAAAATACGACTTCACCTCGGTACAGACTGAGACCCTACAGTGTTATTAATTATGGAAAATAACCCAACTAATGTAATAATATAGCTCGGCCCATAAAGTACCATAAATTATGGAACGCACTGTAACTCATAAATGTTAAGGCGAAGACCCTACAGCATTATTAATTATAGAGACTGACCGCACTAACCGAAGGCTAAAGTTCTGACTGGACAGAAACATACACCAGACAGACGGACGGACAGACGGGCAGCTCATCCATCACCTCCTGCAGAGTGAATGACTGGACGGGCCTTTAAACTTTCAACAAACAGAACAAAAACATTCGTGGAACACACTGTGCATGCAGCATTACCTCAAATTAACCAACACAATGCCTGCATAATTGATGAAACAGAAACCGTCCTTTGGGCACTCTGTTTCAGGTGTCTGTGAGTTGAGATATAACTAGTCGGCATTTTGCTAAAGTGGAAAGGTCAGAAAAAAGTGAAAGCAAACTTAGAACAAATGTGTGTTGCAGAACTACTCCTCTTGTCTTTCTTCTCCAGTTAATGACCTCACGACCCTCAGCTCAGCCTCTGAAGGAGGCTCACAGGCTGACAACCACTGGATTACAAGCTGACTATATAAACAAGAGTTACATGTACAGTCGTGACTCGATAATCCGACACTAAATGTAAAACCTTCTTTTACGGTGGATAGCAAGGCTGTCGGATTGTCAAGACGGAGGTCCAGATACGAGGAGGGCTTGATGCTGGAAGGCTCATTAGTTGTTAATATTTATTGTTCATAGTTGTTATAATAACTAGTTTATTGTTAGAACACTACGCATCGATGGATTCACAGCTAACTGACCGCTGTGATTGTGCATGATCTGAAGTGTCCAGAACACACAGGCAGTACTTGGCTGCTGATGCTAGTTTAGTTAGCGCTCACACTTCTGTTTCCTCCATCGGTGGCGGCGGGGGAGTGGCAGATACGCTCCACCGTTACCATCCATGTTTACTTCCATAAACACTGAGCACGCTCGCTGCGTGTGACGTCGTCGTGTCCTCTTCTGCGCATGCGGGACACTTTTGGCTCGTATGAAGTTCACACAGCAGATCACATACAAGTCGCATTGAACTGGAAACGTGAAGGAAGTCACAAAGAAATCCTCATTGAGCATCAAGTCCTGCAGTGTGAACGTAGCCAATCTGTGGGATTGTTCAGTCAGATAATACGCCGTCATCCTGATTGGTGACATTAAATGTCATGTCGGAGTCACAATCTAAGGCTGTCGCTATGTTAAGGCTGTTTTTATGGGTTCTGTTCCTAAAAACCTGTCGGATAGCAGGTTTAGGATTGTTAAGGGTCGGATTATCGAGTCACGACTGGACTGTTTAACCACAAACTGCTTCCATGAATCTGTAAAAACCTATAAACTAAGAACGGCAAATAGCCGACAGCAGTGTGACCAGAAACACGTCTGATATCTGTGGGTTGACCAATATTCCTTGATTTACCTAAAACATCGCAGAAATAATTAGAAAATCTTCCCTCCTGTTTTCCACATTGACCTGGCAGCTGATTACATGGATTAGCTGTAAAATATTCATATTGATGCACTCTTGCGTATCCTGATACTAAAATGGCACTGAACATGGAAAGTGTAAACTCACATGGGAATCCCGCATTTTTACACCATCACTCATGTTTTATAGATGAGCTGCTGCTATCAGCCATAAGTGGATTATATTAACCCACATTTGTCTGTCTTGCTTCATGCGCTGCCATGAACCAAGCAGAGCGTATTTTCTTCTTTACGTGATGCATACGCCCAAGAAAATGTAAACCTTTCAATGGCTGAATTGGAATTTCAGGCAGAAGAGAAGCTTCAAGACTCAGACCGGGCCTGACTTTGCATTAAGATGTCACTTTGACAGATACGCAGTGAACCAATCATGACTGAACTGAGAAGGCGTGAAAATAAGAAGTGACAAGGGACCCCAGCAGTTTTAAGGATCACACTGAGAAAACATGAATGAACAGAACACCCACTATGAGAGGCAAAGCTCCACACTCAGTATGCAGAGAAGAAACAGCTCCCTGCCTAAGTGGGCAGGCAGTCAGCATGGGGAATATCAATAGCGAGTTTCAATAACATTTGTATCGACCTTCGCCTGTTGTCTGGGGCCTGGCTGTGTGGCCTTTTTCTTTTATGACCGGGACACACTCGGAGGAAAGATACAGCCGACGTCGCAGTGAAAAATCTCTGAGGCGAAAAGCGGAGCGAAAATCCAAACAGAACAAATCAATTTTCATCAGATGAGGGAGTGAATGTGAGGGGGATCAATCAACCAAAGTCAGAGGGAGAAAGAGAAGTGAGCAGAGTTTGTGCTGCTCCCGCAACACGGGAGGGGCAGTAAACACCGGCGCCACCTCCACAAATACCTGTAGCTGATGCACCAACCGTGATTTGTGGGAGACGTTGGAAGGACAATTGGAGTTCCCCAGTGGGGGAAACACGAACAAAGTCATCGCGTTGGATCATAAACCAAGATTTACTGAGTGCATTTGGAAGTGAATGAGATTCCTGGAGCAGCAGCGCCGTCTAACTTTACATGCTGAATAAATAAACAGGCCGCGCTGTGTAACCCACACCTCGGCAGGAAAAAGCCACAGGATCCCGATCGATAACGTGTCCTACTGCGTCCAACATTTGTCCACCGTCCGAAGGCGGAGGAACGTCTGGCGAGCATCTCTGCACCGCCGACCCTCATATTAAAGATTTACAGTAATAAAGAGTAGCAGTAAAAATCAGAAGCAGCAAAGGGCACGAGATACTCCATGACTCAGGGCCGCGGAGGATTGATTTGATTTAGTGCGAGTGAGGTTTAATTGTGCGTGTAGACAGGAAGACAGTAATGAGAGAGACAGCGTGAGAGAGGTGCCAACTCTGAGTCAAGCAAGCGTTAAAGCAGGAGAGGTTTAACGGGGATAGAAGAAGGAGGAACGGAGGGAGAGGAGTGGAGAGAATTCCTCACAAAGTTGATGAAGCAGGAGTTGTGTCATGGAAATCTCCTCACGTAGCGCGCTGTGCGGCTACAGTTGGCGGGTCAGCGGAGAGGGGACCTTGAAAATATAGGATTTTTCATGCAAGGTCAGACCTGCACTTCTTTCTAACAAATTAAGGCGGGTCAAAAGCACGAGCCAGAACCAGGATGAATAAGTAGCCATTAGGAGTTTGCTCGATTATGTCAACCAACTAACGCTGTCTCGGAGGAAGAACAAGTTTAATTTCAACAAATGAAGCACTTAATTTTTAAATTTGTGGGGCATGAGGCACCATTAGCCTCATCTACTTGAATAATGAGATTAAATTCTCCTCTCACCATTGCTGTTGACACACTGGACCTGTGGGAGCTGAGTGCCGGGTCCACACTGCTTCTCATCGTCGGGAACACACTGATCCAGGCTGACCAGTTGCCATTCGTAGCAACTGGGCTCGTCACACGGCACCGCCTCCACCAGGTGTGGACAGTTCCCAGGGCCTCCTGTCGGCTCGTTTGTAATCTGTCGTTTCCTCAGTTTGAAGCCTGCAGTTCAGCAAAGAGCAGAAAGACTGTCATCACAAGGGACATTTTACATTTTATAGTTCAGAACTTTTCCAGACTCACACATCCAGACATCAGATACCTGGATGTTCACTGTGTAGATAAATGATTATGAAATCCAA